CTGGCTTCCTTCATTTAATGTAATTTTTTCCAAGTCTTTCAATTTCTTAACAAATGGGGTGGTGTCATTCTTTGTGATAAGAAGCATAGAATTCCATTGTGTATATATACCACATTTTCTTGATCCATTCATGTACTGAGGGGCATCTGGGTTGGTTCCCTATCTTAGCTATGGTGAATAATGCTAGAATAAACATAGTTGTTCTGGTAGCTTTAGTATGGCTTTGTTTGTGATAGTTTGGGTAAATGCCCAAAAGTGGACTTGCTGGGTCATAGGGAAGCTCTATGTGTAGTCTTTTAAGGAACCTCCATACTACTTTCCAAAGTGGTTGAACAAGTTTACACTCCCACCAACAATGCGGTAGGGTTCCCTTTTGGGCAAATACCCCCCAGTATCTGTTGGTATTAGATTTCTTGATTATAGCCATTCTAACTGGAGTGAGGTGGTATCTCGATGTTGTTTTGATTTGCATTTCTATTATAGCTAGAGAAGTTGAGTATTTCTTCATGTGTCTATTGGCCATTCTTATTTCCTCTTCAGAGAAGTCTTTCTTTAAGTCTTATTAATTGGACAGTTGTTTCTTTGAGGATTTGTTGTTGGGGGATTTTTTTTGAGTTCTAAGTATATTTTAGATATGAGGCCCCTGTCTGTTGTAAAATTAATCATTTTTTATGTTTCAACTTTAAAGTAATTCCTAAATGAAACCATGCCTTTTTTATTGCATTGTTTTAATAAAAACTGGCTTTGAAAAAAAACTGCACATACTTTTCTGTGAAGACTTGGTTTCTATTAGTGTACATGATGGGACATTCTTGCTTTGGGGTAGGGGTGCCAGAAGACTTTCTACCACAATCTCAGAAAACAATATTTTGGTAGACTTTTGTTTTGTTTTGTCAGTCGTGTACGCTGTCCCTTGAGCTCTTCAGCTCAAGGCAAGCAAGCGCTCTACCACTTGAGCTAGAGCGCCACTTCTGGTTTTCTGGTGGTTACTTGGAGATAAGAGGCTCAGATTTTCCTTGCCCACGCTGGCTTTGAACCATGACACCTCGATCTTCAGATCTCAGCCTCCTGAGTAGGATTACAGGTGTGAGCCACTGGCACTCGGCTTTAGTAGACTTTTGTAAGTTTTCATCTCACTAACCTCTTCAAAGTATTTCAAGAACTCTGGACTTGATAACAAGTGATTTAGAACAGTTGATTCAAAATGTAATTAATAAACACCAAGAGCCAGGAGTGGAAATGTGTGCCTATAATCCCAGCACTTGGAAGGTTGAGGCAGGAAGATTATGAGTTTGAGACCAGCCTGGCCAAGTAGCAAGACAGCCTTGAAAATCAGAAGGGAGGGAGGGGAAAAGAAACTAGTAAGGACACATAATATTGAAAAACAGGAATATATTAATTGAAAACTCTCAGAAGAAAAAATAAACATACATTAAAAGATGTACCAGGATTAAAACAAATCATTTAAATAGGGATACAGGTGGACCCACTGCAACAATGAGATGTACAAGTCGTTATGTCAAAAACGAACTTTACAACTTTATGTCGAAAACGAACTTTACAACTTTCGTAGGGGGGGGGGGCGGGGAGAATGGGGGGGCGGGGAGAATTGGGGGGGCGGGAGGGGAGGATGGGAAGGGATGGAAAGGGGAAACAAAGGAGGAGGCTACAATGCTTGATAAGATATGTACTCATTATCTTGCCCATGTAATTGTAACTCCTCTGTACAGTATTTTCACAATAAAAAAAGAAAAAAAAAAGAAAAAAGCAATGTACCATATTACACACACAATAGAGGTCGTTTTGTATGGTGGTGCAGATAAATATGTTTGTAAAAATTTTAATAATAAAATTTAATAATAAAGCTTAATTTCTAATAATAGGACTTAAAATATAATCTCTCAAAATTTTAAAGAAAGATATTAACAGTAAGAAATTGCAAGTCAAAACAAAACCCAAGTGAGGTGATTAATATAAGAACTAGTGAAAATTATAAAAACTAAGATCAGATGCATTGAAAACTAGAAATATGTTCACAGAAACACAAAGGAAAAAGTCACCAATAGTAGAAAATAAAATATTTTAAATTAAAAAACAAGTGTCAGACTATATCTGAGTAAAGATTTGGTAAGTACATAAGCATCCATAAAATATACCAGATTTAATATATAAAATGCAAAGTTAAAAAATAGTAAAATTAAGGAGTCTTAGTTTTGGAAAAAGATTTAACTAATATCACAAAAATAAAAGTAATACAATAGTCAAAGACCATTATTATGAAGGGAATGTGATAAAACTCATGTTCTCTGGCAGTGAAGTAAAAGTAAATAATGAGTATTTCTAAAACATCTTTAAATAAAACATTAACAACTAGGTTATAAGTCTCTTTAAATATGACTAAATATTTAGAAATAACAAAAAATTGTGAGTAGCTGTCAAATACCTAAAAATAAATATGATGTGCTAATTATGCAAAAAAAGAAAAAGGAAAATTGATGAGCTAAGGATATATCTCAAGAAGTTACAAAAAATAAAGCTAACAGAAAAAAAGGAGAACAAAAACATATAAGAGAAGGAATGAAGTAATGGAATATATTTTAAATTTAAATTAGAAAGTAGAGTCTATTGACCCATCTTAAAACAAAAAAAAATAATTAAATGACTGAAAATAAAAGAGTCTATGTACATAAACAACTATAAACATCTTCATCTCAATGAATTTGAAAAGTGCGGTTAGTTTTGTTTGGAATAGAAACTTTGACAATATAACAAATATAACAAATTTGACAATATAACAAAAGAATTAGCAAATCCAGTACTGGAAAGACTCTTTTTCAAGTAACTACAAGAGACACAGACTTTTGACATGCCTGCTAGAGGAGCTCTTTAAACTTGCTCCCAGAAAACCAATGTAAATTAATGTTAAAAATATAAAACTTTGAAGAGACACTGATCCAAAATTTACCAAATTCAGAAAGGACAGTGCCAATATAAACTATATTTGGATCTAGACCTGATATACTCTCCCACTGCACTAGTAAATACACAGACTCCATCCACTCAAAACTGGTAATGACAAGAATATAAGGCTCTTTCCTCCTTCTTCCAAGCCGGGAAGTACCTCCAGAAGAATCTACCAGTTAGTTGCACTATATAGATGTAATATTTTTGGTATTATAATAATTACACACAAAAATACTACTTGCCTGGTACGTAAATGTTTGATATACATTAACTATTGTTATCGTTACTGTAAAATGGTATTCATTTCAGGCACTTTCATCTTTGCTAGCTTATGTGACTATATGCTTAAGATACATTTTTCACATATATTCATTATAAACTGGTTATAAATAGTAAGATGGATATAACCACTATGTAACAAAAATGAAATATGAATTACTGAAAGATTTAAACCAATCAGTTGACTGACAAAATTTGTAGAATTTCTTACGAGAAAATCAAGTCTCCTTTAGGTTACGTAGAATTGTATTTTTGATCAAAATAAGAAAAAAACTTACCAGGAAACTATTTACAACTGTACCAGTGCTATGGCATCTCAGCAATGAAAACAATGTCACGTAGTTTCTCATTGCTACTATAACACTTTACCACTAATTTAGTGACTTCAAATATCTCATATATTACCTTGCAGTTCTGGAGAACAGATGTCCAAAGAGGGGCTTCCTTCTGGAAACTCCAAGGAAAAATCCACTCATACCATTTCCTCTACTAGAGATTGCTGACATTATTGGCTCATGGCTCCTTTCTCCATCTTCAAAGAAAATCACTTAGACCTCTCATTTTGCCACATCTCCTTTTTCTGCCTTTGACCCTTTTGCTCCCCCACCCAGCTCACTTCAGATTCTCTCTCTCCAACTCAAGAGTCTTAATTTAATTACAGTGGCAAAGTTCCTTTCCCCATTTAGGGCATATGTTCACAAGTTCTGAAGATAAGACATGAACCACACTTTGAGAGCCAGTATTCTGTCTATCACACATGTTCCCTCCGATGTATTAAAACTTGCAAACTTTTGTTCAGACAATTCACAACACTCTCAAGATAGCCCTCCCAATTTTATGCTTTGATATGTCAAAAATCAAGGGATTTACAGTGGTGTTTCATGTTCCTGATTTTGAGGATGGCAATTTACCAGCAATCACAATAGTCAGACTTTAAAAGCAGTACAAACGTAAACTGGCATGCTGAATTGAACTCCCTTTGTACAAATAATAATAATAATAAATTTAAAAAAATTAAAAGGCAATAAAAATTGTGGACTCTCAATCTATTCTGCTGTTTGCATTCATGGGCCACCTTGCCATGAGGGAAAACATATGCACCCTCTTACCTAGACTGTGCACTCATTGTTAAACGGCAAAGAGCAAACAAACACAGTCATTTTGGGTTTTTTTTTTTCTTTTTATTGGTAATGGGGCTTGAACTCAGGGCCTAGGCATTATTCCTGATCTTTTTTGTTCAAGGCTAGTGCTCTACCACTTTGAGCCACAGTGCCACTTCCAGTTTTCTGGAGGTTAATTAGAGATAAGAGTCTCACAGGATTTCCTGCCCATGCTGGCTTCAAACTGATCCTCAGATCTCAGCCTCCTGAGTTGCTAGGATTATAGGTCTAAGTCACTAGTGCCCAGCCTATTTTTGTTGTTGTTGGTTTGTTGGTTTTGGTTGTGGATGATGTTCTTGAGCCTCTTTGTGCTCAAGACTAGTGCTCTACCACTTGAGCCATAGAGCACTTCCAGTTTTTGAGTGGTTAATTGGATCTAAGAGTTTCATGGGGACTTTCTGCCTGGGCTGACTTCAAACTACAATCCTTAGATCTCAGCCTCCTGAGTAGCTAAGATTACAGACTTGAGCTATTGGCACCCAGCTCCAGCCTGTAATTTTTAAGAGGTTAAAAATAACAAAGTCTCTGTAAAACATATCCATTACAATATATGAACACTTTAAAATATGTTAAAATATAATTAAATTCATTTCTTACCATATACGATATATTTTAGTTCAAGACTTTTAACAATTTCTTCCACAGTAGGTTTATACTCCAGGAAACATGTGTAAACTCCACTCATACTCTCATCAAAATTCTGGAATACAAGGCTTCCTGTGGATGTTACTTGTGCAGTGCTGTTTTCTAATAAAGAAATAATACATAGTTGCATAAACTACAGTAGAGAGGTAACAAAATTTGTTCAAGAAGACTAAATTTACCTACAAAATTTACCTACAAGGTCACTGAAAAGACCTGCTGTTCTAGCCACATATTATATCTGTTGCTTGCTGAGAGGGAGTGCCAGGAGGAACTTCTTAGTGTCAAATTTTCACTAACCAAATCTCATCAATTTTGTGTGTATGTGCAAATATGTGCACACACATATCTATATAATATATACATATAATACAGAAGTTACATGTTGTGTACATACATATAGATCATGAAATATTTTATATATTTTTCTTTAATGATGAGTTAAAGGCTTCTGTAGTTTACAATGTGTACATGTAATGATGAAGTAGTATATGTAGAACAAAGATTATTAGAATATAATAAGTAAAAACTAGATACCCTGTATTAATACACAGGATTAGGGTTATAAGTAGAAAAAACATAGAAGATGAAATAAGAAGACTCGCCCACATTTAGCAAATCCGAAAGTGGCAGTGTTGGAGTCAGAATGAGATTTAAGCTCAACTTTTTTTTTTCAACATATGTCTTTGAAGAAGGCTGTGCTGTGTTATGGAAAGTGAATCTACCTCTGAAACATCACAACCCATATTTGAAAATTACTTTGATCCCTCACAAACTTATAATCTTAGAGTAACACTTCATCTTTCTAAAGTCCACCTCCTTCATCTGCACAGTAAGAATCGTAATATAGGACAGTTTATCTATAGACTTGTTTTATATAGCAAATACAAGAAACTCTAAAGTATATTTTTTTAAAAAAAAAAACCTACAAGTTATTAGGCAGATAAGCTGTTATTCTTAAAGCTCCTTACTACAGCTTTACATCTAAAAATTATTAAATTTTAAAATACGCTTGGATAATTTAATCACTAGAATTGAAAGTACTATTTTAGGAAATTATTATCCTTTTCTATTTGAATTAAATGATATAATGCTTATAAATTTAAAGTTAAAATAGTCTTTTCACTGTAGTGTCTGTTTATCATAAATATCTTTTGATAAGTCTAGATCTTAAGCTATTTTCTAAAACAAATTAGTAGCATGCAAGTGTTTCCTATATACTTCAGCAAAAACCAAAACTTCATAGTAATACACAAAAAGTGTCCATAAATTTTAAACAAATTTGAAAATATCATATTATCTATTTGCTATATACTTCTTGGCAATAACTTAAAGTGAAAGCTTCCCACACCAAAAGTAACACCAGTGTGTACATGTGTGTGTGTGTGTGTATGTGTGTGTGTTATTTAAATGCCTACTGCACTGTTAAATATAAAGCTAGAAAACTGAGTAGCATACAACCCTTTGACTGATAGAATATTTTTTAAAAAGCACTTTTTTAAAAGAAGTAACTAGAGAACTTCATAATTTCAATATAAGAACACATTCTACAATATTACTTATCACTGTGATGTCCTAGATCTTTTCATTTTATAGATTATTTCATAGGTTCATTCTAAATGGAGATTCACAAAGCCAAGGGATACATACCTGGCACAGGTATCATAGAAATTATCAAGACTCATACAATAAGATATAAAACTGCTTTACTGAATTTTTACATCTTGTTTTGATTTTCCAAAAATTCAGAGGTGTCAATCCAACTAGATCTCTAGAAGCCTATGCTTTAAAACTCTAAAGTTGTATGAAAAAAGTTAAGTATAATTTAATTACAGCTTATGATTTTTGAAAATGGGCTTAATTCTTAATATTTTTAACTCAGGTATAAGAATATGAGTATCAGTTCCACTATTATAAGAAAAAAAAACAGAAAAAACCTTCCATTACAAACAAGTAGGGTAAGAAGATTCACTTAAAATCTCATGATAAACTGCTGAAAGGCAAGTACAGAAGAATATAAGCACATAAACACCCCACAGACCATAGACTGGGAGGAGTTGGCCTCTTAAACACCTCTCATTCACAAATACACAGGTCCATCTAAGAAAGATCAAGGGAGCCTTGAGCAAGCTTCCCATTAGTACAGCCTGAAGGGTCACAGCAACCCTGCCAAACTCTACACACAGTCACTTCACTTCCCCCATACCTATTATAAGAACAAAGCTTTAATCTCAGGAAAAGATGATACAAAAACTGATGCCTAGTTGGGCATCAAGGGCTCATTCTGGTAGTCCTACTTACTCAGGAGGCTGAGACCAAGGATCATGGTTTGAAGCTGGTTCTGACAGAAATGTTCATTAAACTCCATCTCCAAATTAACCAGCAAACAACAGGGCTAGAGAGTATGACCAAGTAGTAGAGCACCAGCCTTGAGTAAGCCCATCTAGCAAGCTTGAGTCCTGAATTCGAGTCCTGGTACCAACAACGACAACAAAAAAAAATATTTGTCATCTAGAGTATTGAAGAAAAGTGTTGCAGCTCAGGCAGAAAATAGGTTTAAAAAAGTGTGTAGTTTAAATGAAGAATCAAGAAGAAATAATATACCAGGCCGAAATTATAGCCATAGAAGCAGCTGGAACTATTGTAAAAGCCAACCTCCAAGATCCAGGAACATTGCCTGACAAACACTAAAATTTAACCAAAAACATCAAAGAATGTAAACTCTCTGAAAAATAGCAGTGGCATAGTGGCCAGAGACAGAGAGAGAGACAGATAGACAGAGAGAGAAGAAAGAAACAGAGAAAAAGTGAGTTAGTCTTTTAGGGGAACATCACAAAAAAAGAAACTAAACTAAGGAAAGAATATACACAAGAAAAAATAATTTAGTGAAGCAGGCTATACTTTAAATAATTATAAGAGCCCTTATGTACCTTTCTGTGCACTATTACCACAGCAACAACTATCAGTAAAGTCAGAATAATCTTAACCAAATTAAGACAAAACTTTACACTAAAGATTGGCAAGGGGAAAAAGGAAGTTTACCTCAAACCAGAAAATCAGTTACTTCAAAATATCTGCTATCTATTCAAGATGTCCAACATTACTCAAAAATATAAACTAGAAGGCACACAAACACACTAAAAAAAAATCTATTCCTCATAGGAAATATTTGAAACCAGACCAGTAAGCATCGGTATCAGCATTATCAGTTAAAAGTAATTCATTAGTGTAATAAAATACTTAAAGAAATACATAGGAGATGTAAAACTAGGTAAGTGGTTTTAACAAAGAATTCAAATTATAGAAAAAAATAACCTAGCAGCAACACTGAAAATATAAACAAAAGAAAAACAAAGAAAAAAATACTATATACAATACTATAAATATACAATGCATTCTATACAACACAGATGAACTATTCTGCAGTGGGCTCATTAAGACTATACAACCAAAGAGGAAATCAATGAATTTGAAGATGGCTCAAAAGAAATTATTAACCTGAAATACAAGAAAAAGGAAGAACAGTTTATGACCTAAGTAACTACATTAAAAGGTGCATGTATGTGATGGGCATCTCAAGGAATCTTTTTTTTTTTTTTTTAATTGTGAACATACTGTACAGAGGGGGTACAATTACATGGGCAAGATAATGAGTACATTTCTTATCAAGCATTGCAGCCTCCTCCTTTGTTTCCCCTTCCCATGCCTTCCCAGCCTCCTCCCCCCGCCCCCCCCACCAAAGTTGTTAGGTTCGTTTTCTTTTTTTAAATTTTTATTTATAAGATTTTTGTTTGTTTGTTTTGGGGGTGTCACGTCATGGGGCCTGAACTCTGGGCCTGGGCGCTGTCCCTCAGCTCTTCAGCTCAAGGCTAGCACTCTACCACTTGATCCACTACACCACTTCCGGCTTTTTTCTTTTTGCTTATGTGGTGCTGAGGAGACCAACTCAGGGCCTCAGGCATGTAAGGCAAACGCTCTACCACTGAGCCACCTTCCCGGCCCCATAAAGTTTGTTTTTGACATGACAACTTGTACTTCTCATTGTTGCAACGGGTCTACCTGTACCCTTATTTAAACGACTTGTTTTTCCCCTTCCCCTCCACAAATTATATCTACATCAATTACAGTGAAAGCAGGGGTTATACTGTGGGGAAGGGACATACAAAGCAACAAAGAAATAATCTTATAAATGTGTTAGAAACAAATGCATGAAAGAAAAAAAAAAATACATATCTAAGGGTTCATTTTCCTAACATCACCTTATCTGACCTTTTACCACTTGACTCATACATATACTAGATATTCCAAATAAGGGAAACCATGGGACCTATGTTTCTTTGGGTTTGGCTTACTTCACTTAATATAATTTTTTCCAAGTCTTTCCATTTCCTAACAAATGGGGCAATGTCATTCTTTCTGATGGAGGCATAGAATTCCATTGTGTATATATACCACATTTTCTTGATCCATTCATCTACTGAGGGGCATCTGGGTTGGTTCCATATCTTAGCTATGGTAAATAATGCTGCAATAAACATAGTTGTGCTGGTAGCTTTAGTGTGGTCTTGTTTGTAAACATTTGGGTAAATGCCCAAAAGTGGGATTGCTGGGTCATAGGGGAGCTCTATATGAAGTCTTTTGAGGAACCTCCTTTGAACAAGTTTACACTCCCACCAACAATGAAGTAAGGTTCCCTTCTGTCAACATCCCCTCCAGAATCTGTTGTTATTAGAGTTCTGGATTATAGCCATTCTAACTGGAGTGAGGTGGAATCACAATGTTGTTTTGATTTGCATTTCTTTTATGGGTAGGGATGTTGAGGATTTCTTCATGTGTCTATTGGCCATCCTTCTTCCTTCTTCAGAGAAGTTTCTCTTTAAGTCTTTAGCCCACTTATTTATTGGGCAGTTGTTTCTTTGAGGATTTGTTGTTGGGGGATTTAATTTTTTGAGTTCCAAGTATATTTTAGATATGAGACCCTTGTCTGTTGTATGGCTAGTGAAGATCTTCTCCCAATCCGTAGGCTTTCTATTGATCTTGCTAGCTATGTCCTTTGCCATGCAGAAGCTCTGCAACTTCATGCAATCCCATTTGTCCAACCTTTCTTTGATTTGTTGTGTTTCTGGGTCTCTATTCAGAAAATTTTGGCCTGAGCCAAGGAGACCTAGGGTTTCTCCTATTCCATCCTGTAATGTTTTCAGAGTGTCTGCTTTGACTCCGAGGTCTTTGATCCATTTGAAGTTGATTCTGGTGCAGGGTGATATATAAGGATCTAGCTTTAGTTTTCTACAAGTAAACTTCTCTGAAGAGGAAAGAAGGATGGCCAATAGACATATGAAGAAATGCTCAACCTCTCTAGCCATAAAAGAAATGCAAATGAAAACAACATTGAGATACCACCTCACCCCAGTTAGAATGGCTAAAATCAAGAACTCTAATAACAACAGATGCTGGAGGGGATGTGGACAGAAGGGAACCTTACTGAATTGTTGGTGGGAGTGTAAACTTGTTCAAACACTTTGGAAAGAAGTATGGAGGTTCCTCAAAAGACTTCACATAGAGCTCCTCTATGACCCAGCAATCCCACTTTTGGGCATTTACCCAAATGTTTACAAACAAGACCACACTAAAGCTACCAGCACAACTATGTTTATTACAGCATTATTTACCATAGCTAAGATATGGAACCAACCCAGATGCCCCTCAGTAGATGAATGGATCAAGAAAATGTGGTATATATACACAATGGAATTCTATGCCTCCATCAGAAAGAATGACATTGCCCCATTTGTTAGGAAATGGAAAGACTTGGAAAAAATTATATTAAGTGAAGTAAGCCAAACCCAAAGAAACATAGGTCCCATGGTTTCCCTTATTTGCAATAACTAGTATATGTCTGAGTCAAGCAGAAAAGGTCAGATAAGTTGATGTTAGGGAAATGAACCCTAAGATATGTATTCAAATGATTTTTTCTTTCATGCATTTGTTTCTAACACATTTATAAGATTATTTCTTTGTTGCTTTATGTTCCTCTCCCACAGTATAACCCCTGCTTTCACTATATTTGATGTTGTTATAATTTGTGGAGGGGAAGGGAAAAACAAATCGTTTAAATAGGGATACAGGTGGATCCATTGCAACAATGAGACATACAAGTAGTTATGTCGAAAACAAACTTTACAACTTTGGTGGTGAGGGGGATTTGGGTGGGGTGGCGGGAGGAAGATGGGACGGGAAGGGGAAACAAAGGAGGAGGCTACAATGCTTGATAAGAAATGTACTCATTATCTTGCCCATGTAATTGTAACTCCTCTGTACATTATTTTCACAATAAAAAGAAAGAAAAAAAAAAGAATAGCTGAAGAGCTGGGTGTAGATGGCTCAAGCCTGTAATCCTAGCTACTCAGGAGTCTGAGATCTGAGGATCATAGTTCAAAGCCAGCCCATGAAACTCCTGTCTCCAATAAACCGCTAGAAAACCAGAAGTGGCACTGTGTCTCAAGCGGCAGAGCACTCGCCTTGAGCTGAAGAGTGCAGGGACAACACCCAAGCCCAGAGTTCAAGCCCCAGAACCAACAAAAGAAAAAGAATATCTGAAGAGATAATGGTTGACATTTTCCAAAAATTAATGATAGACATCAAACTACAGATCAAAATTCTTAGACAACATCAAGGAGAATGAACATAAAAAACAAACACAATATACACTTATAAAACAAAAAGCAAGGAAAACAGCTTCATATAAGAAAAAGTCACATTTTTTTCAGAAACAAATAAGAATTACAGTAGACTTGTTATTAAAAATTATATTAACAAAAATTATATAGTTTCAGGATGCTGAAAGATCAAGTCCCACATGAAGGCCTTTGGCTCAAACTGAAGCCTAACACACTCCATTTCTCTTTGTCTTTCATTGGAAATTTATTTTTAAAGTGCCAACCTAGAATGCTACAATCTGAAAACAAAAACCTGAACAAATTAAACACAAAGCAAACAAAACTAAGAAAACAATACCGATACAAGAAATCAATAGTTAAAAACAGAAAAATCAATGAAAACAAAAGGTAGTCCTCTGAAAAAGACTGATGAAAGTTAAGCATGTTGCTAGAGCCAACACTAAAAACATACAGTCAACATCACAAGGAAAAGAAGGCATATCTCTTTTATATAGGTCCTGAGGCTTATCTCAGGGCCTAGGCAATGTTCTTGATTGTTTTCATTCAAGGCTAAGGGCTCTACCATTTGAGACACAACTCTACTTTTGGCTTTTCTGCTGGTTAAGTAGAGATACGAGTTTCGCATACTTTCCTGCCCAGGCTAGCTTTGAACTCCTTATACCTTAGCCTCCTGAGTAGCAAGGATTACAGACATGAGACCCCAGGGCCCAGCAAAAAAATGTCTTAACTTGTGTTGAAGATTCAGTGTTTTCACTGAGAAGAAAAGTCAACTGGCCTATTTTACCAGCACTAGGAAATCAAGATTCTTCTTACCTATAGCTCAGGGCTTAGTAAAAGAATTGACACTGAGCTACTAAGGAAAAGGAGCTTAGTTGTATTTCAGCTGTATATTAAGAAGTTGGAATCATAAGGTGAGTACAGACTTAGGTACTTGTTGAATAAAAGTAATCACTCAACAAGTAATCACTCAAAATACTAAGAACAGAATTGCTATGTCATTTTAAGAAAAATAACAAAAGTTTAGATTATAGCTTATTTTTCTTTTAGATTTTCTACTGTATCTATCAGAGGTGTTGAGACAGAATAACTATAAACCTCTCAGGATTATAATTTCATTGAGGTTTTAGGTTATCAAAGATAATGAAAATGACAATCTGGATTACTGACAGAAGACTGGGAATAATTAAAGCTACTACTTACTATGGTAAGTAGTTCTTAGGTAAAAATTAAAACATTCAAGGAAATAAGGAAACAATGTGGAAATCTGAGGATCTTTATGCAAAAGACAAAACCAAACTTATCCCATAACCTTTACATTTCAGTAATATATCTTTCTAAATGAATGTGCATATAATTACATAATTATATGATTTTCTCATCTCAATTTTAGTCAAACTATCTTTGGAATACTCCTAAAATGACCAAAGTATAGAGCAATTACGCTTGCTTAGGAACAATTACATTTCTAAATACACATTATTTTTCCATTATGGAAGTAAATAAAATAAACTATTTCTCCCATGTTCTCATTTAAGAGTTAAACTACGTACTATATTATGAAATATAAACAGCAAGATAGTATGCTCTTTTATGGGGGAGGAACTGGGGCTTGAACTCAGAAGCCTTAAGCTCATTACACTTACTCACAGCTAGCGCTCTACCATTTGAATCATCTTACTATCTTGCTTTTAGCTAGTTATACTGGAGATCAAATCTAGCAGACTTTCTTTTCTATGCTGGTTTCAAATCACAATACTCCAGATCTCAGCCTCTTGAGTAGATAGTATTAAAAGCATGAACCACTGCCTGGCTCTAGTATGACATTTTAAATAAGGAAATGTCTCAAATTTTAATTTCCAAATAAAAAAAAATAAACACAATAGAAAAGTCCCATACTTAAGCATTCTTATTTTTTTTAATTTAAAGAGCACTTTAATATATGTTAAATCTTTGAATTACACTGTATGTTGCTATTATAGCATGAAAATAAAATTCAATTATATTTTAGTATTCAGTACCTTCACATCTGGACTATTTAGCTGCTCAAACTCAAGATTTCTTTTATTGATTCCTGTCAATTTCATGAGCACAGAGCATAACTATGTCACAATAGTTGATATAGATTGTATCTTTCTATCTCCCACATAACCTAGCACAACAGCATCCACTAGGTAGTCACCGACTAAATAAGAACTGAATAACTAACTTAAAAAAGAACAACTACCTGACCTAAAATATAGATTAACTAGTTAAAACTTGAGATATTTAGAATCAACATAAATCCTATAAAATGAACATCCCTCAACTACAAAAACACAGAAATTAAAAACCTATTCAAAATAAACATTGACTATATTTTCTTCCATCTAAGATAATGAAGTCCACAGGAATGAATCCATAAGTAGTATCTCAAAATACCAAAGGTTACCAAAAGAACCTTCCTCTAAGGGTTTACAAAGAAAACTTCCTCTAAGAAAAACATCTCATTGAACAGATCTTTAGGATTAAAATTCATTAATCTGTATTGCTAACAAATATGGGGGAATAAAACCAGTTAATAACTTTTAGAATAAATTAGCTTTTATGAAACTAAAACTTTAAAACAAAGGTGAAATATATCTTTCAAAATGATATAACAAGGTAAAATAGAGAATATAATTATCAAATCAGTTGTACAAATAGTGATTTCTGTTAGGCAAAAATATTTTTGGAAGTGATGTTTAGGGAAGTCTATGAAAGACTCAATCTTCTAGTGTATCTCTATACTATACTGAATAAAGCAAGATGAGGAAAAATATGGTAACACATCCACACTGGTACTTTTGAAGGAGATTACAAGGGAAAGAATTGAGGAAATGGATAAATTTATGAGATACAAATATTCTTGTACTTCTGAACACATTTCAGATAGATCTATTTAATTATGAGAAGTGAAATGAAATCCTACCTACCTGAAACAATTTTTCCTTTTGGCCCATGCCATTGGAATGATGGGTCTATCAGTTCAGCATTTCGTAGTCTCTTGGTTACACATAGCACATGTGGACTCTTTTGATGGAGCATGACATATACACTCACTGAAAATACAATATTAAAATATTCCAATAGTATTTTATGCTCATTATTGCTAGATAATACCTTACATCTTTTGCAGCTTGGGTTACATTTTTGTACAGAATTTCTTTGGATTCTTCTTAAAATATCCTGATAATAACTAAATTCCATTGCATACAACTAATTAACACTAAAGAAATACAATATATTTTGTCTATGCACATGTATGTACGTGTAGATTTGTAAGTGTGTGTGTGTGTGTGTGTGTGTGTGTGTGTGTGTGTGTGTGTCTTCAATTTGAAGACAATACATTCTCTTTATTCAGAGACTCACACATTATTCTCAGTGTAATTACAATTACAGAGTATTAAGATAATTTTATTTCTAGACTTCATTTGCTTTCAAGACATCATATGGAGTGCATAAGTAAGTTTAGATTAGAGGAACAATACATTATAGTGATTATAACAAAGAACTGGATGAAAATAAGAATGTGATTAGAAAGTCAACAAATACATACTTTATCTTAAATATTAAGCATTTTCTCTCAATCTGTTTTAAAATTTATACAGTCATGATAAATCAAAGTAGCATAGTTTATAAGATATAAAAGAAAAATTGTAAATATTCAATTATTTTGAGTTTACTGGTAAGCAAGCTTTCAGAAAGAGTTCCAACAATTTTAGAACTACACGTTAACTCTTCACTAATTCACTCTATGCAAATATATTTTTAAAGTAACAAAATAAAAAGGGGTTGAGAATCAAATTCTGTTACGCAAGTTAATAAACCTCCTGTAAAGTTTTACTATAGAGCATGAAGAATATTGACATACTTTTTGGTAGCCATATCCTTTCATGTTTTCCCTTCTATTCTTGTTGTTGTTATTGTTGTTGTTTTAAAATCATCATTTGTTAGTGAATCTTAACAACTTTTTTCTATCTTGGTTAAGATAATCATTTGAATTTTTCTTCCTGAATTTTTTAATTGAATGAGGTTAACTGGTCATTTCTAATAGGTCCATATATATATATATATATATATATATATATACACACATATATAGTATATGTAGTATATATATAATATATAGTAGAAATACGCTAAGACAAGCAGAAAAGGTCAAAAGCTACATATGAACATATAAAATGATGTTAAGCGAAATGAACCTCAAGATAGGGACACAAGTGGTTTTTTTCTTTCTTGCTATTGTTTTTAACGTATTTCTAATGTACTATGTGATTTGTTTGTTTCTTTGGTATGTTCTTCCCCATGGTATAACTCTTGTTTTCACAATATTTGATTCTGGTTGTCTGCATCTTGTATATACATTTTTCTATTTGGGGAGGAGAAGAGAAATAACAAAATGCTTAAATAAGGATACAGGTTGACCCATTATAATAAGTCCTTCTTTTTTATTTAATCTTTGTTGACCTCAATTTGCAAATTTCCTCAATCCTCAAAACTATGTTCATAAATGTAACTATATAAAAATTTCCACTGATACCTTTTGTCTTCATCATGTCAAGTGTTTAGTACTATTATATATTTAATATTCATTATTATGTAGTACCTGAGGCATTATACTTTGAATATGAAATGCTCCCATAGGCTTCCATGTTCAACACTGGGGTCCTCAGATATTGGTGCTATATATTCAGATTCTGGATACTTTAGAAAGTGGGACTAGATTAAGGAAGTAGGTTAATTGGGTATGTCCTTCATGTCTTCTTTCTAGCCACTATAAGGTGAAGAGCCTCTGTCCCAAGCTGTAGCTACTAGGGTAGGTGTTCAATACACTGAATATAGGTCCACAAACATTGATCTTAGTGACCATGGACTGAACCCTCTCAAGCCTGAGCTAAAATAAATCTTTCCTCCTGTAAGCTGTTCTTTCAGGCATTTTGTTCAGAGCTATACCAAGGTAACAGGTAGATCTCTAAAGTTGTCACTGCCACATGAAAAGAACCAAGCAGGCTGGGCACCAGTGGCCCATACCTGTAAACCTAACTACTCCGGAGGTTGAGATTGAGGATCGCGGTTCAAAGCCAGACTAGGCAGGAAGGCCCACGAGACTCTTATCTCCATTAACCACCAGAAAACCAGAAGTGGTGCTATGGTTCAAGTGGTAGAGCTCACTTTGAGCTGAAGAGCTCAGGGATGGCACCTAGGTCCAGAGTTCAAGCCCCAAGACTGCCCAAAAAAAAAAAAAAGGAACCACCAAGCAAACTTTCTAAATAGATTGTACTTATAAACAGATTTGTTGAATGGTAACTCCTTTGTACAACCACTTATAGATAATAAAAATATAATTAAACAATAAATTTCTCTAAGTACATAGTTCAGTTTACTGAATATGTCTTTTTAATTGGTATCCGTTTGTTGTACAGGTATTTCATTTTTTAACATGCTCATTTGTGTATACAACGTATCTTGATTAGAATTATCCTTTCTTTATTCTCTCTCATTTTTACTCCCCCTGTACTTGCCAAAGCAGTTTCATCCAGTTTCCTTGTTCCATTTTCACACATGTACATAAAATATTTTGACTATATTAACCTTCTCTCACCTCCTTTCATGGCAAAGGGGAGAACAGGAAAACAAAATCTGGATGACCAATAGGCTCAATTTAACTGGTTCCCAGTTTACTAAGTAATTTAATTATATCTTGAAATTTGTATTATAGCAGTTATTCAAGTTTATTATTAAGACTTTCAGATTATGGTTTTATTTTGTTTACTTACAATATTTTTGTACTTTCATAATTTTCTCATGAAAACATTTGCCAAATACTTGTCTATTCATCGTTTCAAAGACAGCATTTGACTTTATTCAGTACTCTATTACTCGATTTTTTTTTTTTAATCAAGGGCTATAAGTCAGAGGCTTTGCACTCACTTGGTTTGCTTGCTCATAGTTGGCACTCAACTACTTGAACCACCCCTCCAATCCAACTTTTTGCTGGTGATTGGACATCAAGATTTTTCTGCCCAGATTGGCCTCAAAACTGAAATCTTCCAGGTCTCAGCTTCCTGAGTTGCTAAAATTACTAGATGAGCCACCAGTGCTCAGCTCCAAAACTCTTTTGTAGTCTCTTTCATTAATTCCTGTTCTTCTTTTTCTTGTATCTGTTTGACTCTCCTTTTGTTCTAACTTCCATAATAAATCCTTCTTTAATAAATTTTCACCTCTCAGTATGACAACTGGTCTCTCCTCTGATCTGAGTGTAATTACCACAGTCTCTGCCCTAATGAGGGAGGGGGGTAACAAGTTCAACATGAAATGTACTCAGTACCTTACTTATGTAACTGTAAGCCCTCTGTACAACACATTGACAATGAAATTAAAATAAAAAATAGTAAAAAAAGATAATAGCACTATAATGCCTTTGTGATTGTGATTTTACTCATGTAGTACCATAAACACAGGAGAGTACAGTTAAACAATTTTAAAATGCTAATATATCATAGTTATGTATATAAATAAAGTCACATGTCACCAAAATGTTTCAAAAAACACTGTATACAGATTTTTAAAATGTATTTGGAAGATTAGAACTTTAAACATAGAACAATTCTACAAAAGAAAAGAGTAAAAATACAAATTATAGAAATGTTACAAACTTACATTAATTAAATACAGTAGTATGGTATATGAACAAAAAATAACATTTATTTAGAGGAAAACTAAATATAAAACACTGATAGTGAGAGATCTGTTTTCCTTAGAGAAAACACAGATTATTAGTAACTTATGGTAAAATGTTATCTCAATATACATGCTAGTTGAACTTAAGTTTATATCTCACAAAATAAACAAAAATAAAATCCAAGTAAACTAAAGGCCTTAAGGTAAACTGTTAAACAAATGTAAAATAATACCTTAAATCATTCAATACTAAAAGCACAAAATAAAAGCGTAAAACTGAACTCTTAACTATTACCAGAACTCACTTTCTCTTGCTCTCATTTGGCTTTTTCTCTCAAGATTGGTACTCTACCACTTGAGCTATACCTCCACTTTTACCTTTTTGCTGGTTAAGTGAAGATTTAAAAGTCTCTTCTATTTGCCTGGGCTAGCTTCAAACCTGATCTTCATATCTCAGTCTTCTAAGAATGTAGAATTACAGGTGACAACCACTGGTGCCAGCTGGTAATCTATATTTACTATTAGGACCAACGGAACCATTTTGTGCTGGTCGGGATATAGAAATATGGGAGCACTCAACCTCAGCTGCAAAAGATATGACCTGGTATAGATACTTAAAAGCACTATCTTAGCAAGCTTAAAAACAACTCAGGTCCTATGAGGCTGAACTTCTCCTAGATTTAAAAGACTCATAAAATTTCGAAGCAGGCCATTTATTAGGAAATGGAAAGACTTGGAAAAAAATCATATTAAGTGGAGTATGCCAGACCTAAAGATACACAGATCCCATGATTTCCCTTATTTGCAATAATAAGTATACGTCTAGGGTAATCTTATCAGATGATCAGAAAAGCTCAAAAGCTATGTACATATGACCATAAAAGATGATGCTAAGTGAAATGAACCCCAAGATAGATAGGGACACAAGAGTTTTTCTTTGTTGTTGTTGTTGTTAATTTACAATGTTATTTTTTTGTTACTTTTGTATGTTCTTCCCCCTATGGTATTATCCCGTTTCACTGTATTTTATTTTGGTACCCTGCATCTTATATATACATTTATCAAATTGGAGAGGGGAAAAGAAATAACAAATGCTGAAACAAGAATAAAGGATGACCCATTGCAACAATGATATTCACGAGAGACTGTATTGGAAATGAAGTTTACAAGTTGGGGGAGGTGAGGACTGAGGAAGTAGGTAAGAGATACTAGGAAACAAACAAAGGAGGGGGTAACAATGCTCGACAAGAAATGTACTCATTACCTTACTCATGTAATTATAACCCTTCCACACAGCATCTTTACGATAAAATAAAATTTTAAAAAATTTCTGAGCAGGTAAAAAAACAAAAAAAGATATATATGAAATGGTATT